GATTGATTGATTTTGAAGTCTGCCTACCAACTAGAACATAATTTGTGCAAACTTGGACACTTAACCCTTCATATTTCTCCCTAGCCTGCACCCTGCCATTTCCCCATATAGACTCTTAGCAAGGAAGGAGTTAGTTAAAAGCACATCTTATAGAATTGTAAGTTTTCTAATATTTCGATAGAATAAAAAGAACCATTTTATGATTCTATTAGGCCAAGACCAATACATACTTAAAAGTTCCAGATGTTCAAATGTTGTGTGTGTGTGTGTGCCAGTCAGATCATGCTATTTATTTCCAATATTTTAAGTGAGCTTCATCTTGATAGGTGTAAAATGCAGCTTATTCCTCATTATAATGATGATGTATGTACTTTTAACCTAGGAAGAGCTTCATTCCTGGTTTAATTAGTCAGTGATATCCTAATGCTCTTCTAAGTGTTTATATACCACCTGGATTTACTTCTTGCAAGATGATATGCATAGTAGCTGTGTGGGATATGGAAACAAGAACAAATATGTATTCATGTCAGTGAAATAATTGGAGGAGGTTAGAAGGTAAACAGAAATAGTATGTTATTAAAGATAGGAGGAGGACCAGGAGTTGTGGCAGGATAGGCTCATTGGAAATTGCCTCTTGTTTTAATTATTATATTTTAGTTTATTAAGACACTAGGTATTAGCATAGTTCTGACTTTCACCCACAGAGTGACTGACTGGTTTCAAATTAATATGATGTAAGCTGCTTGGGAGTTAGAAACATGTTTCTGTGCGTTTGTCTAGGAAACCCATATTTTGGGTTTGCATCTGGGATAATAAAATAATTTCATAGGCAACAACTTCACAAGCATATTTAAATTCCCAGCTCAAACTACATATTGAATCTTTTATGAACCCAATTCTAAAAAGTGACTATTAATGGCAATATATTTGCAACTAGACTTTTAGATTTTAACTTCTAACTTTACATTCTGAAATTTCATTCACTATAGACTGTTTTATCAAGTTTTTTAAAAAAAGATTTTATTTATTTATTCATGAGAGACACAGAGAGAGAGAGAGAAAGAGAGAGAGGCAGAGACACAGGCAGAGGGAAAAGCAGGGAGCGGGACATGGGACTCTATCCTGGGTCTCCAGGATAATGCCCTGGGCCGAAGGTGGCGCTAAGCCGCTGAGCCACCCGGGCTGCGGTGGCTGCGGTTATTGAGTTTTTTTTAACTTATAGTTGTTTCCTAGTTTTAAAATTATTTTTTTTTACAAATGTCATTTGCAATTTAAGGAAAGTGTTATAAATAACTTTATTGGCAAGTAATTTTTAAAAACTGGGAAGTTTTGAACTATTTCTACCACTTTTTCCCAATACATTGTGAATCTTATTTGACGGGTTTGTCTTTTGATGTCCCATTAACTAATAAGTTTTCCATTAACCCCGCTCATCTGTTCTAATTTGTTTCAACTTTTTTTTAAGATTTTATTTATTTATTCATGAGAGACTAGGGAGAGGCAGAGTCATAGGCAGGAAGGAAGCCTGATGCAGAACTCGATCCCAGGACCCCAGGATCACGACCTGAGCCAAAGGCAGACGTTTAACTACTGAGCCACCCAGGTGCCCCTGTTTCAACTATTGGTAATACTGTTTGTCAATCATTATAACAGAAGGGTTGATTGCAAAGTTTTTCAGAGTAGGAGCTCTAACTCATAGACTTTTGTATTCCTTTAAATACTTATTTCCTTATAGAATATAATGTAAATACCTTTGTCTATTTTATTATTATATTTAGATAGATAAAAAATCTAGCAAATCCACCTTTATTTAGGGTAGCTGAGCTTTTCTACTTTCTCTGTATCAGTATTTATTTATTTATTTATTTTAAAGATTTTATTTATTCATTCATGAGAGACACAGAGAGAGAGAGAGAAGCAGAGACACAGGCAGTGGAAGAAGCAGGGTCCATGCAGGGAGCCCGATGTGGGACCTGATCCCGGGACTCCAGGATCATGCCCTGGGCCAAAGGCAGGCGCTAAACTGCTGAGCTGCCCAGGGATCCCTATATCAGTTTTATTTAGTTTAAATTTTTTTAAAAAAGATTTTATTTATTTATTCATGAGGGACACACAGAGAGAGAGGCAGAGACACAGGCAGAGGGAGAAGCAGGCTCCCTGCAGGGAGCCCAATGTGGGACTTGATCCTGGGACTCCAGGATCACACCCTGGACCAAAGGCAGGTGCTAAACCCTGAGCCACCCAGGCGTCCCTAGTTTTAAATTAACACATAATCTCCATTGCAACTAGATTGGCACCAGTGAAGCTCTTGTACTTGCTCAAAGATCATCTATTTTTTAAAGATATATATGTATTTTAATAATATATATTAATTTATGTATTTTATACATATATATTTTAGGGTGTATATATAGCGTGTATATATAAATTATGTATGTATATATGTACATACATATACATATATATATTTTTTCAAAGGTAGGCTTTTTTATTTTTTTAAAGATTTATTTGAGAGAGAGAGAGCCTAAGCAGGAGAGGCAGAGGGGGAGAGACTCTCAAGCCAACTTGGTGGATTCGATCTCACAACCCTGAGATTAGCCCTGAGCTGAAACTAAGAGTTAGAAGCTTAACTGACTGCACGACCCTGGCACCCCTCAGCTATTTTTTATTAAAGAAAATTTTCATTGTGGCTTGATGCTTATACCTAGGAATTATTGTGGTGGAATCTGTTTAAATGTGATGTTGTTTTCCTCTGTGGGAGGAAGTGGTGAATCTTACTGTAAATTTTCATTCCAACAATATAGATTTGGTCAGCAACATGTTTCAATAAGAAATAATTCTTTCATTTTAAGTGTCTTCCTTTCCCTTGACTACTTTTATTCAAACTGAGGAACTTTGACCTACTAAATAGACATTCTTTCCTTAATGTAAAATAAACATCTTGAGATTCCTACTTAGAGAAACTTCATGAAATAAGAGAGCAAAGTTCCAGGGGCATAAGGTGCTAGAACAAACTATGAATTTGTAAATCCTTAAATCCAGTAACATTGTTAAAAGAACTTTGAGGGAATCCCTGGGTGGCTCAGCGGTTTAGCGCTTGTCTTTGGCCCAGAGCGCGATCCTGGAGTCCCAGGATCCAGTCCCACATCAGGCTCCCTGCATGGAGCCTGCTTCTCCTTCTGTGTCTCTGCCTCTCTCTCTCTCTCTCTCTCTCTCTCTCTCTCTCTCTCTCTCTGTCTATCATAAATAAATAAATAAATCTTAAAAAAAGAACTTTGAACAAACTGAATAAATAGACGTAATAGTTAATTCAACTGCAGCAAGAAAACTCATTATAGGGGGATCCCTGGGTGGCTCAGCAGTTTAGCGCCTGCCTTTGGCCCAGGGCTGATTCTGGAGTCCTAGGATCCAGTCCCACATCAGGATTCCGGCATGGAGCCTGCTTCTGTCTCTGCCTCTCTCTCTCTCTGTCCCTCATGAATAAATAAAATCTTAAAAAAAAAAGCTCATTATAATACTAGTAATATAGCATTCCTTATTAGTTTCTATTTGCTTCTTTCTTTCTTTCTTTCTTTCTTTCTTTCTTTCTTTCTTTCTTTCTTTCTTTCTTTCTTTCTTTCTTTCTTTCTTTCTTTCTTTCTTTCTTTCCTTTCTTTCTTTCAACATTTTATTTATTTACTCATGAGAGACAGAGAGAGGCAGAGACAGAAGCAGGCTCCCTGTATGGAGCCGGACATGGGACTGGATTCCGGGTCTCTAGGATCACGCCCTGGACCGAAGGTGGCGCTAAACCGCTGCGCCACCCGGGCTGCCCTCTTTCCTTATTCTTATCAACTTGGATACTTAATACAAATATTATGATTAGTGAGACTGGAGAAAAGGGAAACCTTTTCTCAACATTCAACATTGGAAATGTGAGAGGGTGGCGAGGGATTACAGAGCTAAGTGAGATTAAGATAAATCTTACTTTGTTAGCCTTTTTTTTTTTTTAATATACAAAAGTATGCCTGTAGTCACAAACAAACAAAAAATACATATTTAAGTTTGGGATTTAGGGAAGCATCGACCATCTGTAAGGTACTAGAGATTAGGAAACTATATGTTGTTTTTGTATTTTTTTTTTTACAAGCTGGACTATATCTGGCGTGTAATAGATGCCCAGTAAATGTTCAGTGAATCAGTCTGTGGTTCAATATAGTCATAATGGCCAAATTCAGTTTTAGAAACATTATTTTGGTTCAAGGTAGAGCTTCTACTTAGGCAGGGCTCGCAATGTTTATGTAGGAAGCATGTCGGGCCAGGATTCAGCACGAGTCGCGTGGAAGACAAATGGATTATTTTCCGTATGCACTTGTGCCCCACCTCACTGCACAAAGGATTTGGGCGATTAGGCGGAGTATGAAGTGAGCCTATCCATAAAGCTTTATAATACAAGGGTCACAAATATGTTAAGCATATTTATCTCATGCCAATCTAAGGACATATTTATCACGTTACATTTCCTTAGGTTTCCCCCCAGAGTGCATGCCCCCCCCATATTTTTTATTGTCAATATAGCTATTTGTTGTCATGAATTCATTTAATTGTCATCATCAACGGGGACACGCCGTTTGATCCGTCGAAACCTTGCTCAGTCTGGATCCCAAGCGCTCCGTGAAGTCTCCGGAGAAAACGACTTGGGCTGCAGGCGGTGCTCAAAGCCACACCCACACGAGGCCTCAGGAAACCTGGGGCTTTCCCGGCCGCGGCTCAGCGGCAGGCAGCCCCGCCGCGCGGGAATCCCAGGGCCTGCGCTCCAGGCTTCCCCGTGGGAGGCGCCAGCTCCTCCGCAGCGAGCGGGGCCCGGGCCCGGGTCCGGCTCCCCGCGGGCGGGGCCTCGCGCCCTCTTCCCGCCCCGCCCTGGGCTCATTTGCATAGGGACGCGCGCGGCGCCCGCCCAGGGCTCATTTGCATAGGGACGCGCGCGGCCCCGGCGAGCGGGGGTGGGGGGGCGGGCACGGCCGGGGAGGCGGCGCGCGCGCGCCCTGACAGCTCGGCCCCGCTCGCTCCCTCGCTCGTCCCCGGCTTCCGAGCACAGCATGGCGGTCAAGGTGACTCCCAACTCTCTGCCGCTGCCTTTATTGCATAAGAGACATTCTGGGGACCTTGCCTGCAGCCCCCCGCCGCTTACCATTTCCTCCGTTGCCTGGTTCTTAGCTAGCGCGTCCTGGGGCTCCGGCTCGCGGGTGGGAGAGCTGCGTGGGGCTTGCACCGGACGGAGAGGATGCCCGGCTGGGGGAGGGGAAGTAGGAGGGATTACGAGTTGGAGGGGCTTTTGGGGACCCCGGGCCGGTGGGGGGGAGAGCTGTGCCCTGCCCTAGGCGCCCGGGAGTGTGAGCCCGGACTTGGGGGGGGCATCGGAAAGGGAGTAGGAGGAAGTGGCACGTAAAGCCGAGGCCACCTAAGGCATCTGTATATTGCAGTGGGGGAGGGGGCGAGCGATTGAGTAATTCGGAGCTTCGGTGGGGCCGGGGGCGGTGGTTGGCATCGGTGCTGCAGGTGGCAGGATGTCGAGAGTGTTTGGAAACGTGGTAGGTAGCAGCTTTCGTATTTTAGGTTGGGTGGAGAAAGAGCGGAGACCATTATATTTCTGGATTGCGTTCCACAGAGAAGAAAGGCTGCTAGGCCAGGCGATTAATTTGGGTGTTTCAACTTTCCTGTTGCCCCGTCCTTGCTGGGCCCTCTGATGTGGAGGTGGGTGGTTGCGGTTGTGTTGCTAGTGGATGGGGAAAGTAAGAGACTGATCCTCCCTGCCTCGCCTTTCCAGTCCGGAGGAAATCTGGTAGATTTGCTGTGTTAAGGTCCTCACACCTGTACTTCCTCGCCTCTGTAGTCGCAGAGCTCCAATTTGACAGGTGTTATCAGTATTAGCACTTTGGGTTTGTTTTAAACTAAATGCCCTTATAAAAGATAAGAGCATTGATTGTTAGCTTTGAGAACTCTAATCTGAAGAGATTATTTGGTCTCTAGTAAAGTATTAACTTGGCTTTTTTTTTTTTCCTTACAGGTGCAAACAACCAAGCGAGGTGATCCTCATGAGTTAAGAAACATATTCCTACAGGTAAATTGGCTTGTGTAGCATGTTCTTTTATAGGAACGAAATAGATGTAAACTTAGTGCTTTTCAGGCCTTAGCTTTTTTCATTTATTCTTAAAAACATGGATAGACAATATAGCTTATAATTATTAGGATTTGAATACAGATTTTCCTTTTTATTAAGGTTTGATAAAATGTTTTCCTCAAATTATTGTTTTTTTTAGAAACATGACTTAAAGCATATAAAGAGCACTAAAAAGAACTTCCAGCTTCCCATAAGCACTATGATCAAAATTATATTTCAAAATGTATTGACGCTCGTGTGTGATTACTAGGTATGGTGATTAAATTTCTTTCTTGAAAGTTGCAAGTTTATAGTTTTCCTCCTTATAAGCATTTATTTATGTAATTTGTTACAGAGCTAGGAATATTATAGTTACTGTTTATTTGTATGTGTCTTTTCTCCCTCTACTTACATTCATCAGCTTTTGGGGTTTTGTTACAAAATGCTACTGTCTGCCGTTCTTGCAAGGATCCACCTTATAAGTTTTTAAGATTAGAGACTTGGCTGTAGACTTACAAAGCTGGCTTAGTTTTTTGTTTTGCTTTCTTAAATTTCAGAAGTTCCTCAGGCAGGAAGTTTTACTTAAGAAATAGATAAAAAGGGAGACAAGCTAAGGTGTTCCACTAAATACAGTGTTTTTCTCTGAAATCTTCTTTTGAAAACTTTCTATTCTGGACCTGGGTTCTTATATAGAAACTATGACCTTGGTCAGGTCCCTCTTGGGTATTTGTTTCCTCTGTAAAATGAGAGGTGATCTCCAAGGTTCCTTCCAACTCCAAAAGTCTAGGATTCTATATTAGGAACAGATTCTAACATATGCTGATCAGCCTGGAATAGATGACATTTTTATCTGAGACTTGGATTGCTTAAGCTATTGTTGGGGAAGAGGCTGCATAGATGACCATACGTATTTGTAGTTCATGGAAAAGAATTAGTGAAAATTGGAATTTTAAATTTTATAAAATCTGATAAAAGGAAGCATCATTTCCAGAACATAAGTAGTTGTAATAGAAATGATCTATTAACGGCTTGAAACTTTTATTCCTCACAAGTATTCTTGAAAATAGCGAAAAATATGTCTGTTAACCATACCATATGATTATTCTTAGTGGTTTTGTGAGAAGTTGGTGTGATATAGTCACTTTTTTCTATATTAGGTAGGCATGGAAGAAATCATTTGAAATGTTGCATGATGTGATGAAGGTGACAGGAACACTGGGTTCAGTTCCCAGTCTTGCCTCTGATTGTTTTACCTGTAGGCTACCTGTTTGGCCTTTCTGGGCTTTATCTTCTCATGTGGGACTCAACTGAACATCAGGAAATGGGAATTGAGATCCTTTCAGCTTTATTTATTTATTTATTTTTAAAAATTTTATTTATTCATGAGAGACAGAGAGAGAGGCAGAGACATAGGAAGAAGGGGAGGAGAAGCAGGCTCCATGCAGAGAGCCCGATGCAGGACTGGATCCCGGACTCCAGGATCACGCCATAAGCCAAAGGCAGACGCTCAACTGTTGAGCCACCCAGGTGTCCCAAGATCCTTTCAGCTTTATTATTTATTTATTTATTTTTTAAAGATTTTATTTATTTATTCATGACACAGAGAGAGAAAGAGGCAGAGACATAGGCAGAGGGAGAAGCAGGCTCCATGCAGAGTCTGAATTGGGACTCGATCCCAGGTCTCCCGGATCAGGCCCTGGGCTGAAGGCGGCACTAAACCTCTGAGCCACCCGGGCTGCCCCCTTTCAGCTTTAAAAGTCCTATGGAGGGGCACCTGGGTGGCACAGTTAAGCATCTGACTCTTGGTTCAGGTCTGATCTCAGGGTCTGAGATCAAGCTCCATGTCAGGCTCCAGACCCTGTGGGCAGTCTACTTGAGTTTCTCTCCCTCTCTCTCTCTTCCTCTGCCCATACATTCTGTGCACATATGTGCATGCACACGCACGTGTGCTCTCTCTTTCTCGAATAAATCTTAAAATCCTATGGAGGGGTGCCTGGGTGGCTCAGCTGGTTAAGTGTCTGCCTTCTGCTCAGGTCCTGAGGTTCTGGGATCAAGCTCCATGTAGGGCTCCCTGCTCAGCAGAGAGCCTGCTTCTCCATCTCCCTCTGCTGCTCCCCTTGCTTATGCTTGTGCACTTTCACTGTCAAATAAATAAATACAAATGTTTAACAACAACAAAAATCCAATGGAAAAAAAATCCATGATTCTGCATGGATTTGGTTTTTTGGAGGACAGAGGATAAAAATATAAGGAGAGAGCTGGAATTATGCCTAGCATTTTGACAACCTTTAAATCTTATTGTTATTTTTTTTTAAGATTTTTATTTTTAAGTAATCTCTACACCCAGTGTGGGCCTCGAACTTAAAACCCTCAGATCAAGAATTGCATGCTCTACCAACTGGGCCAACCAGGTGCCCCCTTATCATTATCTTTTTACTCATTATTTATATGGCACCCTTATTTTTTATATTGAAAGATTGTGAAATTCATAACAGTGTATTTAGCATTAGTTAATAAAGCATTGACCCAAGAATTATTGATAGATAAGAGATCATAGATATTTACCTTCATTAGCTAGAAAGATACAGTATGGTTATTTGAATCATTTTGAGGACAGTTACAAGTAACATAGCAGATTTTTCTTATTCCTATCTTGAGTACTTCAAACTGTAGTTACTTGAAGCTATAGGAAATTTTTCAGAAATAGTTTTATTTTAGAAGTATATGGTTTATTAATATTTTAAAGATACTAAGCAAAAATACATACTAACTATATATTTCTTTAGCATTTAATATATTTTATCAACAAATATTTAATAAGGACTGTTTCCTGTGTGCCATGTCTGCAGTTGTATTTAGTTTAGCAGTAGATACCAGTTGAATAATCAAAGGAGAGGATTGAGCCAAGACTTGAATGGTAGTGGACCTGTGACTAGCTCCTTTCTCAGACCTATTCAGTCTCTAACAGGTTGTGGTTGAGGTCGTCAAGAATAATAAAGTCCAATGCATAGCCTCTGGTAGAATGATCAAATTGGCTTGCCTGGATCAAAGTGGTTGTAACAATAATGACAATGGCTAACAGTTATTGATCTTTCTGCGCTGGGCACCAGCCTAGTGTTTTAAGGGCACTACATTAATTTTCATAACAACCTTAGGAGGTAGGGTTAGAGTCCCTGTTAAATACATGAAGTTAAGTGACTTGGTTAATGTCATTTAGTCCTTAAGTGGTGGAGGCTGGATTCCAATCAAACTGCAGAACATGTACTCTTGACCCTTATACTAGATCACTTGTGGAGTCTCAAAATGGGGGGTAGGTAATTTTTTGAAAGCTAGAGGTATATAAGGGGCTAATGGCAGCTGTGTTAAGTTAAAGGAAAAAAAATCTGGTTACTTAGGTGATGGGGAAAAATAGCGCCTTTACATTGTAACTTCCTAGAGCATTTGGCCAGTGAGTTTGGATTTGAAACAGTAGGGAGGCACTCTGGGTTTCTGAGCCGGGAAATTGAAGTGGTACATTCTGACAGCTCTTTGTGTATGTTGGGTAAAGTGTGGAGAGGTTGGAAGGAGGTAGGGACATCAGCTAAGAGGCTGTTGAAATAATACATGTGGGAGATAATGACCCGGAGTGGCTGATGGCTGGGGAAATGGAAAGGAAGGACAATACCAGGGACTTTGTAAGGGTTGAATCTGTTGAATTTGATATTAAATACAGAGGTAAGGGAAAAAGTAGTGAATCTGGATAGATGTTAATTGAGGAGACATCTATTTTTGGGAATTTTGGGGGGAGGGAGCAGTTTAAGTTTGGTTGTTAAAAAAGTATGTCCCAATATGTCAAATCTGTCAGGTTTGGAGAGAGACAGATTTGTACAGGTGGTAGATAAATCCTTGTGGTGAGGGGATTAAATATAAAAGAAAAAGACCAGGAATAAGAGACTGATTTATAAGTGATAATTCACAATTGAAGTGGGAAGGAGGAGGAGAACTAGGGAGAATCATCCCATGGAAGTTTAAAGTAGTTTCAAAACAAAGGATATAGGGATCCCTGGGTAGCTCAGTGGTTTAGTGCCTGACATTGGCTCAGGGTGTGATCCTGGAGTCCCAGGATCGAGTCCCAGGATCGAGTTCCGCATCGGGCTCCCTGCAGGGAGCTTCTCTGCTGCTCTCTCTGCCCCTCTCTCTCTGTCTCTCATGAATGTAAATAAAATCTTAAAAAAAAAAAAAAGAATATAGTCAAAGATTAAAGTACAGATTATTGCTATTAGTATAATTTGGTTTTGGTAGGATCCTTTGAGCTGTTTAAAGACTACAGGGAAGATTTAATTTTGAATTTTGGAATACAATTAAAAACTTTTTTGTAAAACTTGGATCTGTGGGATTAACTATTTAATTTACAAATACTCATTTTTGTCAACAGCAAAATATTTTTCTTTGAAAGTGCAGATCTGTCTATATTTAATGGAATTACATGTGCAAGTTTGTGAGAAGGGCTTTATAAAAGTAAAGTATTATTTTGCATATAGGGAAATAGATTTATTTCTTTTTGTGTTCATTGCTTCTCAAATTTTGATGAGCTATATTTTCTTTCTTTTCTTTTCTTTTCTTTTCTTTTCTTTTCTTTTCTTTTCTTTTCTTTTCTTTTCTTTTTTCTTTTCTTTTCTTTTCTTTTCTTTTCTTTTCTTTTCTTTTCTTTTCTTTTCTTTTCTTTTCTTTTCTTTTCTTTTCTTTTCTTTCTTTTCTGATTTTATTTATTCATGAGAGATCCACAGAGAGAGAGAGGCAGAGACACAGGCAGAGGGAGAAGCAGGCTCCACGCAGGGAGCCCGATGTGGGACTCCATCCCCGGTCTCCAGGATCATGCCCTGGTCTGAAGGCGGCGCTAAACCACTGAGCTACCTGGGCTGCCCTATGAGCTATATTTTCTATTAAAAAAATAATATTTATTAGGATTCTGCTTTTTCTTG